ACGCACGTATCGTACCCGCGGCGGGATATTTTCAAGCTCGTGATAAGATCGTACGCGCGATTTGCGGCGGATCTACGCACGATATGTTGCGTTTCCCAACGACGGCGGCGAAGTACTTTCGCGGACAGCATTTATTTCCGGAATAACGTAAACAACAGATTCATGGAACGGGCTCGAATGCTCGACGTTAAATCTCACCCGATCGTTTCCGATAGGCACGCAGTCGGCTGCGTGCGCGTTAACGCGATTCGATTCTCACACCCCCGACGTCGCATTTAAGCAGAACGCGAACGCAGGAGCGCGTATTTTGCACGGATACACGATTTGACGATTGATGTTTACTATTTCGTATATTTTGTTCAGTCTTGTTTACTGTAGCCTTCTTTCCTTCTTTCGAAATATGAATTTCTTTCTCTTTCTCTCTATCTCCCTGTCCTCTTTTTCTAACTCTTTCTCATTGCACATTTTCATCATCATTATCATCATTGCTTACATTGTGCGTCATAACCTTCTCTTTCTTTTTATTTTACGAATGTTTAATTGTGCATCTTCATTTTTAGTTTCAATTATGTATTTTGATTTTATTATTTCTACTTTGTATTTATACCTATAATCTATTAATCTATTCTACCTATTTATACCTATAATCTATTAATCTATTATACCTATTATCAATTAATCTATCGTTGAAAATAGATTATTTTCGACTCAGAACTCTAAGTAGCTCTAGCCAAAAATGCCCCAAAGTAGGCACGCAGATTCTTCATAGAACCCAGATTTGGCCAAGATAGATTTCTAAATTCTGAATAGATTTTCATGAATAAACCACGAATTGTGATGCTGACATAAATGCTCTAAGATAGACATATAAAATTTTTTGTGAATTTGATAAAAATATGAATGGATAAATTAACTTTGGAGAAAGAGAAAAAGATGTGTATGATGTTTATAATAATAAAAATATTATATATAATAAGAACATTGTAACAAATATTGTAATTGGAATTGGTTATAATAAGCATGCTAAGAGAAAATATTTAATTTATTATACTTTAAATAAATATATCGCGAAATAGAGCCTCAATTCGATATTTTAGTCAGAGTCTAGTTAAACATACCAAGATAGAAATTAGTCAAATTTACAAGTCTGCACGTTAATTTATAGAAGCGTAATATCTCTGTGTAGGATCTAAGTAAATCTATCTTTATAAAGCCTTAATAGAAGTAAGGAAAGTCTATAAAGGAACAGCTAATTCCTATTTTAAATTTCTACTTAGAGTTCTTTAAATTTTGATCTCCTTGCATACGCTCTGATGCATCTAATCACGAATTATAATACAACTATTTTCGTTCTTAGAAGGCTTGCTCCCTCCCCCTCCTCTCTTTTTCTCATTTGGCTAGGCGGTAAAAAAACGGCAAAATGTTTCGCGGGCTGTAAACACAGAAAAATTATTGCACGGGAGGGGTGAAAGGTAGCCGTTGCAACGTAATAGCGCGAATCCCTTCCAGTAGTTTCTGCGTCCGGCGTGGAAAAATAAGCTTCGCTCGCTAACAAACGTGCGATCACGTTGAATTATGACGCCGTTTTGATAATAACTTGACTTTCCGAGCGTTAGCATTAAGATAATTGCCGACGAACGGAAACGCAAGTAAAAGCTACGACGCCTTTTTTATCGCGCCTGGTAATGATTTACGATGTATCCACGGCGAAAGCAATACTCTTGAATATTCAACGACCACGTACAGATAAAAAATGCGTCAACGATAAGTCATTCACTTTATATATACATCGTTA